TCTGAAATTCAAGCTACAGAGAAAAAAAATTCAACCTTTCCATGTTTTAAGAGCCTGTTATTTCTGGTTTTTGCTACTAGTCCCTGAATTCAGTTCTTGCTACTGAATAAACCAACCTGGTGTATAAGAGTAGTTCAAAAAATGTCAGTGATTCTGCGTCTCTGCCTCCTCCACCCCCTCACTCTAGCCACAAACACACTGTTCCTCCTCTGATAAGTAACTGGACATCTAGCTGTGAGGCTGTTGAAACCTGATGGAATCTCAGAAAGTCACAAAGAAGTGAGGCATGGATCACGCCCAGCCCACAGATGAGTTGTATTTGGCCCACATGTATTTTTTATAATCCTGAATTTGTTGCCACCATTTGAAAACCTGGTGATTTTGCATAAATCCTGATTTCTTAGAAACTCTTTTGACCCAGGGTCATTTCTGCCTGGCAACGATCTACTGAAAGTAAGTAGCAGCTGCCCTCTGAGATGAGGCAGGTGTTCTGTGGATCACCACAATGCCCCCTTCACTCATGTCACCTGTGTGGCCCTGAAGGCAGCTGAGTTTGCAACCTTCCACCTCCCTACCCAGCCACACACCCGAGGAATGGCCTGTTAAAATGGTATTCCTGAATTTTTTGTGCCTTTCTCCTTTCCCAATCTCCCTTGACTCAACACTTAGCACATTGGGGTTTTTGTTTTTGTTTTTTTTTCTCAGAAAACTTAGCATGCACTTTTGAGAGTTGGAGCGAAATCAACCTCTCAAATGCCAGAAAACAGCTGATGTTGCTTCTTGGAGGCATCTTGACTTCCCTTCTCACATGTCTTATTGAGGAGAGGCAGTAAGAGGGAGAGCTGCAGGCTCCTCAGGGAGCAGCTGTTGGGATGCTTGATTGAGGCACTGAGACATCCAGGGGACAATTAAATTGAGTATTGAATATGGATTGCTTTTGAATGGCTTTTTGAATGGCTTTTATTACCATGTCACGAGTAAGAATGACTCCAGCTCAGCTTTTACATTACGTCCTCTGAGACATAACTTAGAGGTTTCCTAAATGGCAGGACTCGGAAGATGTGCATTAGTTCCATTGTGCTTGTGAAGTCTGTTTTGCGACACATGTGCTCCTCAGTTGTCTGAACCCTTGAGAAAACCTCAGCTGCTATGGCTGCCACCTTCAGCTGGGGTGATTCTACTGCAGCTGTTAAATGGAGAGTCTCTGTTTCAGTCTGATGTAAGTCTTTATGTCCTTGGTCATTAACTTGGAAAGTTAAATGCTCGTGTAGCTTTTATAAACATAGTTCTTTGGGGTTTTGGGAAGTAAAACAAAAGCTATTTTGATAATAAATAATTTATAGTTCTGATTCTTTATGAATTATACAGAGTACAGTATGTTGGGTCAGGAATGATCATCTTTGCATTAGCAATTCTAAGTAAAATGGTGCCATGCTTAACAGAGCAAGTTCTCAAGTAAGTAAGTAGATTGGCCTGGGATGCAGAGAGGAAACAGTAGAACTGGCATTCCCAGGTCCGCACCAAATTCTTAGGGTTAATACCACCACAAAAATAAGTCCTGTCTCTTGGATACTAATGGAATTTCACAGTATGCAGGATAGTGATTGGGCAACAGGCCTAAGGAGAATCTCTGCCTGCTTTGGAGCTGGTTTCTGGGGGAAGCTGGGGCACAGATAGCCGCAAATGAGTGTGGGGTGTGCTGGGTATTGGGGGAGACAGGAATGCAGTAGGGGCCCAGCCTGATGGAGCATTGGTGCAGGTAGACTCCGCTGGCCTATGTTGGCTGGTTCTCCAATTATAGTTTAAGAAAATGTGTTCTGTCTGATCTCTTAATTTTCATAGGAAACCTACTCAGTGAATACCTTATATAAAAAGAACTAAAAAACTTAATGTCTTAAAAAGGCTTTATTCCATATAGACTTTTGAACATGGTTATTATATTCTAATTCTGTGGGAGAAGAATGAAGTCTGGAGGCTAGCCCACTTATCAGATTTTCATTTCTTTCCAGAAGTAGTTTAGGAGCAGTTACTTGGGGTCCAGTTGTGAATTTTTATTTTTGAGATTTTGGCCATGTGTTCATTATCTAAGACTTGTTTTCTGCCCCATTGTATCCAAGCATTATATGCACCAGTAATATTCCTAACTAGTCCAACAGAAAATCTGGTATATCTTGAGAAGAATCACTGCCATAACTTATTAATGGATTAACTAGGCATAATTTTTATAGGGTTCATTCATCCAAATTTATCATAGGATAGAATTTAAGAAAAAAATGAGTTATTTAAGTCCTTTTTTGGAAGGGATCCCTATCCCCTATGGATACTGCAGTTAGTGATGTGTCAGACTTCTCCTTCAAGAAATTAGCTGCAAATCCTTTCTTCATTATGTGAGCACTCTTCTGTTTGCCCCTTAGAGCTCTCCTCCCTCTTCCCTGTCCTGTGTAGACCATATCAGTGGGCTCCTTGTCCTGGGCTTCTGGGTTCAGGTAATGCAGGGTGGAGAGTGAGATCAGGGTGTTTTAATTCCTGGCTCCCTCTTAGAGGGCCACCACAGCTGGCCATGTCCCTCAGCCTGTCTGGCAGCCTCCTCCACACAGCCTTCTCCCTTCCCATTCTCCCTTAGGCAATTACCAGCCCAGGGACACTGTTCACCCGTCTGTTTCCCTACATGCTGCCAACACCTATGTAAGTATTCTATTTATTAAACTCTAAAATAGTCCCAATTGGAGTGTGCCATCTGCTTCATGCTGGGACCGTAATGGATACAAATAAGCATTTGATCCACAGAGAGAGGAGGACTGCTGACCTGGTAGTTAGCAAAGATTTAAAAAAAAAAAAAAAAGGAGGGGGGGAGTGCAAACTAGCCCAGTTGAAGCATTACCTTCTAAAAAAATTGTTTTAATGTTTATTATTGAGAGAGAGAGAGGGAGGGAGAGGGAGAGAGGGAGGGGGAGGGGCAGAAAGGGGGGAGACACAGAGTCTGAAGCAGGCCACAGACTCTGAGCTATCAGTAGAGAGCCCAGTGTGGGGCTCGAACCCGCAAACCACGATATCATGATCTGAGCCAAAGTTGGACGCTTAACTGACTGAGCCATCCAGGCACCCTGAAGCATTACCATCCAAAACCCCAGCCCAAATCTTTCTTCAGGAAACCTGTCCTTTCTGCCTCTCTGAATGTTACCCCATCTCAGATTGTTTCTTGTGTTTTCAAAGCCCTTTGCATGCGTCTGCTACCAGCACGGCAGGCTTGTAGCACCCCAAGATTGTTTTAGTGTTTCAGAGTAACAGATCCAGCAGTGCAGGGGAGATCTCCTGAAAGTCATAGGATATGGAATGTGAATCTTTGATCTTTCCAGTTTCTCTAGCGTGGCCTTATATCACTTGACTTGCAGCTGGCACGTATGTTTTAGGAAAATGGAAGGATGGATAAAGTGTATGGAATGTTTTGTCCTCTCAAAATTCTTACGTTGAAGCCCTAATCCTCCAGTGTGATGGTATTAGGAGATGGACCTTTGGGAGATAATTAGGTTAGATGGAGTCATGATGGTGGGGCCCTCAAGGATGGGATTGGTGCCTTTATAAGGGTAGACACCAGAGAGCTTGCTGCTCCCCCCACTCTCTGCACACATAAAAAGAAGAGGTCATGTGACCACATAGTAAGATGGCAGATGCCTACAAACCAAGAGAAGAGCTTTTGGAGTGAAACCTATCTGTTGGTACCTTGATCTTGGACTTTCCAGCCTCCAGCAATGTGAAAAATGTTTGTTGTTTAGCCACACAGTCTATGGTATTTTGTTATGGTACCCCGGGCTGACAGAGATAAACATGTAGATTTTTTCCAAACGTGCTATCTGCATTGTCTGAGACAAGCAATCTACTTGGGTGGCCCTTGCTCTTTTAGAAATTTGTTTGGCGATTCTTCTTTATAGCCTACTTTAATATTTAAAGGCAATGGGGATTGTTTTGGCTGAAATTTAAGCTTTAAAGGTGAAAGTATCCTTATCAGACTGGTTCAACTTAGAAATGAGCAAGTTTTCTCAATTTGGCCAATTAAAAAATACCTTTAGTATGGATGCTGAGGAGACTAGGCCTTTGGTTTTGATTCTAAATGGAAGTGGGGAGGTGCTCACAGAACGATGCCAAGCACCGGTGGCTGTACAATTTGTTTTATTTTGTGTGCTTTTTTTTAATAGGATATAAATAATGACAAAAATTACAAAATTTATAACTGGAAGCCCAAGCATATTTACACATGTTTCTGTTTCAGCAAAGCTACTATTTACTTTGCTCCTATACAATTACCTTTTGGTACCATATTTCAGTGTTATTTTATTCTCCATTTACTACATACATATCAACAGTGAATAGGCAAAATATATACAAGGAACTGTTCAGGTCAAGTAATTTAATATTGTATTAAAATTCTTCAACACTGAACTAAATCCATATACATTTGTCAGTTTGAAACAAAATTTAGTTATCCTTCTTTAAAACTCACCAACTGATGAATAACTGATAAGCCTCAAGTTTAAAATAATATTGGTTAATAAAAAAAACATTAAGACAATCCCACAATTTATCAATATCGCTATAATGAACTTCAAAATGATTCACAATATGATCAGTTAGAACAATATACGTTAAAATGTTATTTTTTTCTATAATGATATTGGTACTGTTTATATAATTTGATTCTACATAAATATACATTATGGTATCATACAAATACTCCACAGAGACATTAAAAAAATTAAAATACCTTAAAGAAATGTAAGTAAATTTTATTTAATCAAATAGTAAGCAAACATTTATTTCAAGAAAAGAGTTTTATTACTTTGGAATCTCTCTTTTTTTTTTTTTTTTTTTTTTTTTT